TATATATATTATATATGCTTGTACACGAACACTAGATTACCTTAGCAGATTTTATGTGATTGTTTCCAATACAGAAACAATTACATAAAATCAGACAGAAATCTTCAATCAATGTGCTACGTACTGTAATCGAGTGTACGCCAAAAAAAAATTACTTCTATTTTCAACAATTTCAAAAACCAGAATAAGATTTGGATTAGGATTTAGGGTTGGAATTGATGATAGAAGAGTGTAAGTAGATTTTATAGACTTAAAAGAAAGTTCCAGATTTTATTTAGTTTTATTTTATGATAATGATTATGGTTTGAAGTGATATGTCTGATGAGATTTTATACTTTTATTAAGATCTAATTTTTTTTCTTTTTTTTCCTAGATTTCGTTTTCGATGTTTTGTTTTTAATAGCTATGATGAAATAAAACATTTCATATTTCATCATTATGAGAAGAGATTTATCTAATATCTAAACCTAGTAGCTATTAATGTTTAGCATTGCATACAATATCCTCTAAAAATAATACCCTCGATTAAGACCTGGGGTATTATTTGCTACCTATCCAGTCTAATTCTTGAATATTTATTATTTTCATATAATATATCTCTGAATCTAGTACCTGGTTCTTCACACAGTACCCACAAGTACTATTCAATTTTAAAAATAGAATTCTTGAATAAGATCCAGGTACTTTATGCAATGCTATACGGTAATAGTAATATACTGGGTCATGATATATTAGCAAAGGCTTTGTTTCCGCCTGTACACAAAATATTAATGATTAATCCACCACGATCTTGGTAGTAAGGGATTAGATTATTACCATATATGTGTGTATACAAGATTCCCCATATATCAGACCTATCTTCATTTTTTGCTAATGAATTTCTTTTTTTACTATTTAACTTTTTTAGTAGAATGTAAAAGACCTGGATCTTGTATACGTACATATACGATAATAGGATATGGTGAATCCAACTAAATCAAATAGTGGTTTACAGATGTTGGAATTTGTGTAACTAGATAGCAATCACCTGCATTTCAAATATCAATCCTTTGTTCTTCGTATTTAATAAATATTACTTTTCACAGAACGAAGACAGAGCAACATTGTCGAAATTCACAGGTTACTCTACACTTAAAAGCTTTTATTATTAATAAATAACGTTTACAGTTCATTATGAATGTGCTTCAAGATTTCTTGCATTTAGTAAGTTTTTATTCTCATATTCTTTTTTATTGTATATAATACTCCGGGTCTCATTCAAGAACCCTATTGATTAAATTAATCTGGGAACGTTCATTCATAAGATACTGTATACAGCGGCAATCATCTCTTTTTTATTTAACAAGGGTCAGGCATTAAACTTGCATTATTTTAAACAGACTGCTATTCATAATAATTATGAAGCAGACATGATCCACGTACCTCACTTCAAAAAATTTTTTTTTAATCGTGTAAGTATTGCTAATTTTTTAAATATACGAAAAATTGTTTAAATGTTAAATTAATAAATTAAAAATTTTTTATTTTTTATTAAAAGCATATTATTATTATTATTATTATTATTATTATTATTATTATTATTATTATGCTTATTTTTGATATTATTATCATTATTATTTTTATTGTTATTTTTATTATAATTATAAATTAAATAAAAGATTATGAGAACAAATATTTAATTCTCTTACTTAACAAAATAGATCAGAATAATGTAGGGGTATTACCAATTTGGTCTAGTATGGTTGGATTAATTTTGATTCAGTCTCGGTTTGATCTTTCTTTGTTCTAATTACAGTTTAATCCAAGGAACTAATTATCAAGATTTTCGGTTCAAGCTTATAATAAAAACTAGTTTTAGACTGATCTTTTATTATATACAGTAAATGTTGGTTTAAACTGGTCTTTTATTATAATTCGATAAAGACGGAAAAGTTAATGATACTGGGTAGGAGAGGTCTCCAAACAGGTCACTTTTTTTATTATTTCGCTAATATTACCTAAATACAAGATACATATAGCATTATAATTATTACTAATTATAAACGTATCTTGTTTAGAGACTTTCACACACATGGTATAATTGGTAAAGGAGGCTTTGCGCCATATATAATGCTAATCATACTTGGTGTTTTAAAAATTCCCAAAACATGTCTTTTTTTTTTAACCTTATACGCAGTATATATAGAAATCACTATGATTATCATCGTGATCCTTATATATATAAGTTAAAAAAGGGACCGTGTCTTGAAACGTTTGGAACTTTTGAAACACCTAGTAGATTTGTAATAATAATATCCTGATCCATTGGGAATTAGCGGAAACGAAGTTTCTGCTTATTCACAGAGGCGTAAGTAGTAGGCATTTCTGAATTATTTTGTAACGATAAGCTTTTTAATTAGATAAATAATAATAATGAACAAAATATATAGAAAGGTTGTTTCCACTATCATTAGCCTGTTCTCATCGAATTATGTATTTCATTGGAATAAGTATTTTCCCGACAAGGAATTATTATATCTGCCACACTGATATACATTTTTCACCATTTTCAATGTCGAGTGTCCAAAGTGTGTCCAAGCTCTAATAATTAATAAATTAGTTTAAAAATATATGATTATATATTTTTTTAGGTTCTTAATTTTTTTTTACTTAGAAAAGTATATAATTTTTTAAGTTATATTTTGTTCAAAAATGTCCAAACTTGTGTTTATGGTCAGAGTATTATTAATTAATTCTCCTGTGATCTTGATATAGTGATCGAGGGATTAAAAAAGTTTATATCGTGATAATAATGATATTTCACTGAATGACTTTATTAAAGAATATTGCTCAGTTTATAATATCATTTATATTTGTATTTTTTTTTATTCATGTATTTAATAACTCAATTACATCAAATAATACAAGATTAAAAACAAAAAAACCTTACTAAAGTTATGCATGATAATATAGTATGATTTTTAGAATTACTAGCTTAATATAAGAACCACCAATTAATTAATAATTTTCATAAGTTAGATCTGAAATAGAAGCATACTACATGGTTCTTCAATTCGCTACCTTCGCCCTTATTTATATGACCATTTTGGACTACTAATTAAATATCATATTTATTAATAAAATTAGTGTTTGTAGTCGATTTTATTGACTTAGCCAGCTTAATCAGCTGATTTTCCAAAAAATCGACTTAGTCAATTTACCTTCCAGAAAGAAAATCAACGAACATAAAATACGAGCAAGATTGAGACAAAAAATGAGGAAAATTCACGATAATTTCAAAGGTTAACCAAAGACGATCAACCTTAATTTAGCCGACTATGCCGATTTTTAAATATTGACTCAAGTCAATAAATAATGATCGACTACAAACACTAGTAAAACTGATTCGCTTAATTATAGAAAAGGCCCGATTTGCAGCAATATAGTTGAATTTTTTGTGATGAGAACTAAACCTAATTAAGCTGAAAAAATAATATATTGTAAATAGGAACGGGATTTGAAATTTCTTAGTTAAATAACTATAATTCTAAGCAATTCCAAATCCCATTTTCATTTACAACATTTGTAATACGTCTTACTAGGAACATTAAATTAGCAATCGATAAAGAACGTATGTACATATAAATAAAAACAAATAGTATGTACATCTTACAATCCAGGTGATTACAGCTAGTTTCTAACGAACTTACATGTTACATTTAGAACAACGTTGCCAATGTTTGCTTTTGCTGGGTGAGCACTTCATGATCTGAGGAATGCTCATACGTATAGTACACAGATCTAATGGTTGTATAGCATATGAGTGCCGTCAAAAGGATTTAAAAATAGATACACATATAAATAATAATTTATTCTTAGGTATGTGTTAAACAATAACGATAAGCATGTATATGTATATAAATCAAGTATCGATCATCCATCAATGTGCTAAGGTAATCCGGTATATGAGTATACACAGTATACGGAGTATAATCGAAATTTTTTTTTTGCCTATTTTCTATCATTTTAAAAACAGCGATAAATTAATCATATAATAAATAAATTATATAATACATAGTATAAAATTCTTAGTATTTTAGAATATTCAAAATTATGTAATTTTTGATAAGATAAAATCATATGATCATTTATTTTAATAAAATTTATTTTAAAATTCTTGGCAAATTAGAACATTCTAAATTATGTAATTTCTGATAAGGTTTAATCATATGATTTTTTACTTGATAAAATTCTTAGCATTTTAGAACATTCTAAATTACATAATTTTAGATAAGATTAAATCATATGATTTATATCATATGATTTATTATTTATTTTTTAAATGTTGATCATTTGTTGTTTACAAAAAAAACATCACGTATTTTTTTCTATCACAAATATTTTTTTTAAAAAAGTTAGTATCATTTATTTTTTTTTAAAAAAAAAATAATTAAATGATTTATATACTAGTTAAGATATAAGAACTTTTACTTCCTCTCTTTTGAATAACTGAGATTCAATATATTGGAAGTACAAATAGTAAAATTATAAGCAACCGGCTTTTTACTATTTGCCTTTACATGTGCACTGTGACCTTTTGTTCTTATTCAATAATAAAGTTTTTTATTTTTCTTTTTATATACGTTTACGTAAACAATATTTAAATAGCTATTTCTTTTTTTTTTTAGATGTCAAAAACAAAAGAAATTAATGATGTAACAAAAATTGACAATATTATTGTATCACTATTTACATTACGTCAAGATTTAATAAACAAAAATTCCTGTGAAGACTGTGAAACTTTAAAAGAAAATTGCCAAAGAGCTTTCAGAAAATATAATAAAGATCTTTCTCTTGTAAAAAATATTGAAAGACTTCAAAAAGAAGTTGATGATACGAACAAAAAATATATAGAACTAAACACTAAATTTATTAATCATAAAGCTAAATATGAAAATGTAGAATAATTTTATTCTTATATGTATTTATTTAAAAAATAAATATTTATATTTTTAAATATTTTAAATAAAACAATTTTTGAAATCTAAAAAATATTGCTTTTGGTCTGGAATGAAAGACAAAATACATTCTTTTTTGTAATATAAATTATATTTACCAGAATACAAAATTAAAAATGAATTTGTATTAGGTAATGTGTTTTTAATAACTGAATTTCCATTACTAAATCCTTCACATTCAATAAATTCAGGAACTGGAATTTTATTTAATAAATTATCATAAAACGTAACTAATAAATAATTTTCAGTTTGAATCTTATAAATCTTAAACATAAATGGTAATGTTTTATAATATTTAAGATAACTTAATCTTTGGTTTTCAAAAAGACTAATGATTTCGATCATTTTTTTTTTAATTTTTAATAAAATAATTTTGCGATATTTATATTTAATTATCAAAAAATTTTTTTTGAATTTGACTCAGAGAAATTGAAATCGTATAAATGTAATGAAAGTTCTTTAATTGGAAGTTTAAAAATGTATTTACTTGAAGAAGAAACTGAAAAATCACCTTGGAAGAAAATAGTCAATTCATTTGAAGTGTTGTCAGCATGAATTGAATTACCAATTGTTAAACCTCGAAGAAAATCAAACTCTTATCGTCTTATAGAAATCGATGTAACATTGTTCAATAAAATATCGATACAAACTCTAGATATCACATTCTTAACAGATCTTGACAATTTCGATTTAATAAAAAATTATACTTGGTGTTATTATAAAAGAAAAACAGATAATACATTTTATATCGCTTCACATAAAGGAAAAAAATTTATACAATTTCATCGAATGATTCATCTAGGATGGAAGATGATCGATCATATAAATAGGATTGGAATAGATAATTGTAAATGTAACTTATGAGAAACTACAAAAAGAAAAAATGCATTAAATTGTAAATTACGAAAAGATAATACATCACAATTTAATGGAATTTCATTTTTTAAAATTTTAAATGCTTGGTGTTTTCAATGGACTGAAACTAATAAACGTAAAAAAAAATATTTTTATATTAATAAGAAAAGAACTAGTAAACAAGCAAAACAACTAGTTATAGATTTTAAATTAGCTCATAATAAATTAACTAGAAATCGAAATGGTTATAAAGTTTAATAAATTTAAATTAAAATATATTTTAGTTTTAATTTATTACTAGTTTTTGATAATAGACCCTGTTTTTTAGTTTTATCAGATAATTCACAGACCAAATTACATTTATAATTTTGTGTGCAAGCAGATGTGCAATTCATTTAAATTAGTTTCATTTTTTTTTTAATATTATAAATAAAATAAGAATGTTTAAATATTTGTTTCGGAAAAACTATTTAATAAATTTTAAATTAAATTCCTAATTTAGAATTGATAAAGAAATATAATTTAATTGGTTCATATTAAATTTAATTTTATGTATATTTAGCTAGAAAATAAAACATAACTTAAAAAAAATAGATATTCGAACTAAATAATTAATTACTTTGATTTAACATAATATTAATAATTATATTTATGATAATGATATTGTTAGATATTTTGCAATATCTGAACAAATTTATTATCGGAAGCTGAAACTAACAGAGTTTGTAAAATTATTGATGAAGTGACAAAAACACTTACAGATGAAAATAATAATTATTTACAATCAGTTTTTAAGAATTTAAATGTTTTTACGACTATTAAAACTGAAGTTCAAAAATGTACAAACAAAAAATAACTTGTTAAATATATTGATTCTTTAACAACAAAATATATTTTACAATAATTTAAAAATAATATGAATTTATTTATTTATAATTAAAAGTTATACATGTAAAGTTATAGTCAAAATTATAACAAATTATAAAAAATAAAAATATTGAAGAATAAATTATTATCATATTAATAATAATAATTTTCGTTAAACTCATTTTTTCTTTAAAAAAATTTCTTGTATCATCATTGTTAAAAACTATCTTTAAAGCAGTATTAATTTCAATTAATTCATTATTTCTATTAACTAATTTTTGATTATTAACTTCTAATCGACTATTACTAATTTCTAATTGTTCAACTTCATTAATCAATCTAGTATTTTCTTTTATTAGTTCATCTTTATCTGCAAGTAAAGCAAGATTTCATTGATGTATATCTCGAATTTCATTTAATAATTTTATATTTTCTTGTTGAAGTAATTCTCTGCTGGTTAATTTTGGCACTTCAGACATTTTTTATTTTAATTATAAAAATAAAATAAATAAATTTAAAATATTTATTTATAAAATTTAAATATATATAAAACTATTTCGATTTAACTATAAGAGTTCTATGTACTGAATTTAAAGATTTTTGTAAATGTTTAATTGTTAATTTCTCAATACAAGATTCACAAAAAATATGTTTACAGAATAATAATTCAACGTCTAATTTTAAAAAATCAAAAGGATCTACAAATATAAATGGTTCTTTTTTACAATAATTTACATCACAAAATTGATTCAAAATACCACATTCATAATAAAAATTATATTCTCGACATCGATCACATTTCTTTTTTAAAATATGACCTATAAATTTTTTTCATATAAATAAATATAATGCTTTTGTAATTTACTATAAGCAACTCCAAATTTGTTATACAAAATTTTCACTTTTTGTAATTTCCTTTTTTTACAATTCTTACAATTTTGAATATTATTAATGAAATTATGATGATGATACTTTTTATATTGTTTACATCTATCACACAAATATGTTTTACCTTTAAAATAAACAAAATTTCCATCAAAATGATTAATTTCATAAAACAATAAAAATTGTCGAAATGGGTTGTTACTTTTTTTAGAATGATAAAAAATATATTTAATTGGATCTAAACTATTTCTTTGTTTAAGATGTAAAATGTATGATTGATAGAAATTTTTTGATACTGTTTTAACATTTTCATGTTAATAAGGTGAAAGAAAAGCAAAAATATAAAATAAAAGATCTGAAATATTTAATAAATTCATTTGATATTTTAACTTGAATAATGCAACTATTTATATTTTTTTAATAATAACTTTTAATGTTAAATTATATATATTTTGATTAATTTTATTAAAATAAATGTACTTTTTCATATATAAATCAGGAAATTTTTTATTAAGTATATCTAAATCATGTTAAAATTTCATAAACTGATAAATTATATAAGTTAAAAATAATGTTTCTTTTAAAAACTTTTTATATTCTTCAATTTTAAAATCAAATTTAGAAATATTTCTAAAATTTGTTAAATAACTAATAAAATTTTCAATTTTTGTATCTAAATCCATTTTAAAATATTAAATAACTCTAAAAAAATGTGTTATTTTATATTTTTTCTCTATAAATAACCAAACTTTTTCTATTAAAACTTTTTAAATTTTAAAAAATTTATCTCAAAATGTTTGAAATTTTAGAAATAAACCATACTGATTTTACTGTTAAAATATATAAAGTTCCACAACTAGATCATATTTATGAATTAAAATTTTTTCTTAATAATAAAGAAGAAATTGATCTAATATATGATGCTATTGGAAAACTTGATAATGTTTTAATTTATGATAATAACAAAAACATTATCAATTATTATTGTCACAAAATCTTAATTGAAGATAAAAAAAACTATCAAATCTATTGCAATGATTTACTTTTATTCAATATTAATTCACAAATAAATGATTTAGCTAAAATGTTAACACATGAAGAAATTAGAAAATTAATGGATCATTTTGCAAATAAAAATAAAGTAAAAGAAAATACTATTAAAAAATTTGATAAAGAAACTTTACAACATCAATGCATTAATAGAATGTTTTAAAAATAACTTTAAAAGATTAGAACAGGTATTAAAATTATTTATTTTATTATCATTTATATTTACTAATTAATTTTTAATTTTAGAAAATGAATGAATCTGGATTTATATTTGAAATGTTTCAAAATACATCTAAAACAATTATATATAAGGATATCAATAAATTAATAACTCAATTTAAAAATGAAATTTACGAAGAAATAAGTAATGATAAAAAAATTTAATGAAAATTATAATATCAATAGTAATATCAACTCTCTCTGACGATCACTCGTACCGAATTTTTTACAAACGACGAGCAGAAATTTGTTAGAAAGAAAAGGA